TAACCAGAAGGCTGGCGGTTCAAACCCACCAGCCACTCCTCGGAAGGAAGATGGGGCAATCTACTTCTGTAGTGATACTGCCTCGGAAACCCAAGAAGGGTTTGCTATGAGTCAGATCCGACTCAACGGCACATAACAACAACAGCAACAACAACAGAACAAGGCTTTGTATAATAATAATCCTAATTTCTATAGGATTTAATAATTTACAACATGTTTTCAATTTATATTATCTCCTAGCTCCTCTACTTATCAGCTGTATAGCATGAGCAGGTCACTATATCTCCCTGTGACTTTAATTTTCTCATTTATAAAAAAAATGGTTGCTATGAGGATTGAATTATTAATAAATGCAAAACATCTAGAACACAACTCTTGGCACATAGTAAGGGTTCAATAAAGATTAGGCATTACTACTATTATTATTTTGGAATCATTTGATCTTCTAAAAGCCCTATAGAGTGGTTATTATTCACAGATGAGGAAACAAAGACTTAAAAGTTAAATTATTTATCCAATCATTAGTTTCTTTAATCAAAATAAATTATTAGGGAGTGAGAACTTTGGATTTTGAACTCAAATCCAAGTTTTCTTAACTTCAAACCCCATAATTTGAATGAAAGACACAATATGGAAGTTGTTGCAAATGGTAGAAGGTGACGCTAAAGGCAACCTACTGAGATTTTAAGTTTTGGTAGCTGACCAAACAAACAAATAATAAAAGAATCCAATTCACCCTAAAATTTTACACAAAAAGATCCTAGCAGTGTGGGCTGTTTGGGATTAAGTAAATATTTTTCTGAACATTAATTCATGAAAATATGGAATAAATTTAATCAAAATCATCAAAGACAAAGAAAACATAAAAATATCTTCAATGTAATTGTTTATTTTTACTAATAATCAAATTTTCCATAGTATTAGCTATTTCAAAGCCTTCATATTTTAATTTGACACACAGTTAAAAAAAATCACATTATTTTTCTCTATTCTTATCCCAAAACTAGCTATATAAACTTGTTTCTTATTATGCAAATATTTTCAAAGGCTATGCATACAAATGGCAATAAAAGTTAAGTGAGGCATCTGTAAGTTAGTGCATAAAAACAAACACAACATGTTTCCATTTTTACTTATCTTGAAATATATGTTTTTTGTTTTTTTTTACCCATTCTCCCAAACCATAATTACCATGGAAACAGAACAGCAAACTAAACTGAAATAACAGTTTATGATGTGCACAATAAGAGGAAACATCCTATAATTCAAATAGAATTATAACAATTGCATAGTACATCTGCATATAATCTTTAGCTGAACCTTTTAATTGGAGTGAGGCTACCATCTACACTTCAAAGAAATATATATCTCTCTGTAATCTCAGTCATACAGAGATGTCAGGCAAACTATTATTTATCCTAAATTATCTAAATAATTATCTCAATTTTCCATTTAGCTTTGGATGTATAGATACAGTTTCATGGTGTTAATTGCTAAAATTTATATAGGAACATTCTTTTTATTGTAAGATCAATAAAATGTAGAGATGGAAAAGAAAGACTAGATGACTTTGTACTTTGCTTTAAATCAACTTTATATCTGACAAGTTCTTATTCTAGACTATAGCTATTCAAATACTTCATAAAACCACCTTGCATAAAGTGCTAAGTATATCAATTTAAAGGCTATCTTAAAGATTATTTTAGAAGGCTTTTAATGTCTCTTCACAAGCTGATGTTCAATGAAGTTTTCCACAGGCCTTTTTCCAAGGCCTCCACCTACTTTTCCCAAAATGGTAGAACCCATTTGCTTTGTTATGGAGCAGAACTCTGTGTGCTTGAGATTTGAGTGGACTATCCATGCAGTTTCCAGAGTTGTCTGACATGCACATCCAATCATGTACCTCCATTAACTTCCCCCTGGACTGGAGGAGAATGTTCTCGGCATGGAACAAGAGCCCTTCACAAACTATGCTAACTTACCTTTTTCCAGCCTCAACTTCTAATACTTCCTATGATGCTCCTTATTTTGTCAAACTGCTTATTGTCTCCCAGTCCAGAACTGTTCTGCCTGCTGTGTTTTCCTCCTTGTTGACCAATGCCATGGTACAAATTGTTTCAACTTATTTTTGCCTTCTAGAAGACCTTTCTTTCTTTTTCTTTTTTTACTAGATATCCTGTAAGTCGTTATGACAAACCTGCTGACATTATGGTTTATTTTATTTTATTTTATTGGTATTAGAAACTTAATTTATTGACTAGAGTTGAAGCCATTTTAATGATTAATGTTTGTGATTTCTAATACCTTTCCGGTAGGTGGTAAAACTTTTAAAACCATAAATTTAGTTTTTAGTATGTATCTTACATAGAGATAAAACACTATTTATTACAAAAGTGATTTGTCATTAAAATTAGTTATACATTAATAGCTCTGGATATCACCTGTCCAAATTAGCTTGTAAATGCCCTTAAATGTCAAAATCCTAACTTTTAAATACAATATGCAATACATCCTCATCAAATACAATTGCATCTCACTCATTTTTTTAAAAGTGCTGAGTAACAGTCTTATTGGAAAGCAAATCTTTTAGAATATCCCAAAATACATATGGGGTGGACGTTAAAAGCTTAACTTCATTTCTAATAGGACTGAAATGATAACAAAATCTGAACTGCTTCAAAGTAGAGAGAAGATTATTTTAGTAATGCATAGTACAAATCCTAAATTAAAAGAAGTGCTTAATAAAACGTTAACTGTGGACTTTACAAGTTTGGAGAACACTATCTTCATATGTGTTGACCATAAAGCTATTTTCTTTCCCCACAGAGTTTAAAAAGAAGCTTATTGCATTATTCACTGACATGTACAGATAGCTCATATATTCATTTATATTTTTGGATTAACTTATGCTTAACAAATATATACAACTTTTACTATTTGACTATGCTGTGAGGGAAAGAAAGGGTATTTCATTTCTCGCTTGCTAAAATTAATAGAGAAATATCTGCCTTATAGATATCCCCACTGGGGAGTTCACAGTGTCCTTGTATCTCAACAATTCTTCCCCGTAGTGGGTTTTATGTGCTAATAATTTATTCAGAACATTTGAAATGCTGTTTCTTTTAAAATCAGGTCACTGGAGAACACTGAAATCAGACAAGGCATTAAAACAAATTTAGTGAAACTTTCAACAAATGAAACTGGCAGGACACAAGGCTTTGCAACAGGAATAGTAGTTCAAATTGCTTATTAAGATAATCTCCTGCCGAGCATTTTACCTCTTATGTTGGTGTCTGTGTCCCCTACTGTCTTGTTTGTGTTAGGCACTTTTAGCACATTCTGTACTGTTTCACAAAGAGAAAAAAGGGGGCAATCCAAACAACAAAAATACTTTTAGAAAATAATAAAATGCAGGTAGCTGTCTTTTTGTTTAAATAACAACATGTTATACCTTCATCTACGGCTTTCAAAGTTACTCCAAACAAGCAAGAGGAGGAAGCAGTGTTCTGCACACACAGTGGGTTTTCAGTGCAGATCAGCACCTAATATACACAAGAAGACTCTTTACAGTTTCTCTGGGGACAAGATTTCCCTTACAATGAGATAACTATAAATGTGGGGGTCATATTCAACCCATGGAGAACTGAACCCACAGGGTTGGGAAACATTTTATAAAGAATATACATAAGGAACCATATTCTTACATCAACATCAAGATTACACCCCTTCGATCTGTTTTCAGTTTCACTGGCCAGTCAACATGGGCACATTCACCAGAGACCTAGTCCATGGCTGTGGTACAAGGACCTGATTCATCCTCCTTACACTGTTTCTGTACAACTGCTGCCCCACTGCCCCACCATCAAGACCTTTTCTGGGAGTAGCATGAGTCTTCCCTCATTCCTTTCTTAACTGCCAAAAGAGGTTAAGAGGTTATGGATTTAGCACTTTTTGAATGGTTGCTGACTCTTTGTTGGACTTCAATACATCCATCTACTACATAGAAAGCTGAGGTGGTGAAAGCAGGAGAGAGCTATACTATGTTCATAAGAATGTTGAACAACATGTTTTTTAATATGTCCCATGGATTTATGGATTTCTATACCTGTAGAACTGGCATGCTCAGTTACAAAGTTGACCTTGGCATCAACCCCAACTCACAAGACTATCTTTGAGGAAATGCCATATTCATGCATTTACATATCTAAAATATCCTTTTCAGGTACTGTGAATTGATGGAGAAGTATTGCTATTATTATAAATAATAATAATTTGTTATTAATAATAACAACAGTAATAGTGGCTAACACTTTTGGAGCTATGTGTTTTTCATGAATTTTCCCCTAATCCTCAGGAAAACTCAATGATTATTATCTCCATTTGTCAGTTGGGAAATTGAGGCTTAAGAAGGTTGCTTATGAAGGATAGTTTCCTGAGGTTGTAAATATTAATTACAGGATATGAAAACCATGTCTAAGGTTTTCCTATCCTAATATTAGGAGGTTTCTGAGCAAAAGTTGAATTGAAGTTGGGTCTGGACCTATTGGTCCATCATTTCTCAATATCTTAGATTGTAAATAAATCTGATATCAAGTAAGTTACGGGTACACTACAAACCATGCCCCTTCTTGGAGACTCTTAATAACATTAGCATATTAATGACTCTGAGAAGTCTTGTGAAAAAGAAACTTGTTTAACTTTGTATGCTGAGCATTTTCCAAGGTTGGGAAATAGTAAAAGGCTTCCAGAGATGTTTCATCCAGAGACCCAATGAATCTTTTATTAAAACTGAATGTTGCTGTTATTAGGTGCCTTCATGTCAGTTCTGATTTATAGGGATCCCATGTAGAACAGGAGGAAACACTGCTCGGTCACGCCACCCTCACCATCTTGCCATGCTTCTTGATTCCATCAATGCAACCAATTGATCTCATTGAGGGTCTTCCCCCTTTTCACTGACTCTCTACTTTACCAAGCATGATATCCTTCTCCAGAGATTGGTTTGTTCTGACAACATGATTAAAGAATGAGAGACGAAGTCTGGCCATTCTTGCTTCTAAGGAGCATTCTGGCTGTACTTTCTCCAAAACCGATTTTTTTCAGTCTCCTAGCAGTCCATGGTGCAGACAATATTCTTCACCAACTGCACAACTGATGTACAAGTTCATCAATCTTCTGTGGTCTTCCTTATTCATTGTCCAGCACTCACATGTATATGAGACTATTGTAATTACCATTGCTTGAGTCAGGTGCACCTTAGTCTTCAAAGTGACACCTTTGCTCTTAAAAACTTTAAAGAGGTCTTTTGCAGTAGATTTGCCCAGTGCAATACAACATCTAATTTCTGGACTGCTGCTTCCATGGGTGTTGACTGTGTATCCAAGTAAAATGAAATCTTTGACAACTTCAATCTTTTCTCTGTTTATCATGATGTTGCTTATTGGTCCAGTTGTGAGGACTTTTGTTTTAGATGTAATCCATTGTTGAGATGTAATCCATACTGAATGTTGTAGTCTTTAATCTCCATCAGTTAGTGCTTTAAGTCTTCTGCACTTTGAGCAAGCAAGTTTGTGTCCCTGCATATTATAGGTTGTTAATCCTCCAATTCTGATGCTGTGTTCTTCATATAACCCAGCTTCTCAGATTATTTGCTCAGTATACAGAATTCACCACTAGTCTGTCAGCAAGTGTACTGTGGTGGTTTGCATGTTTCTTTGAGGCTGGAGGCTATACCACTGGTATTTCAAACACCAGCAGGGTCACCACCCATGGTGGACAGGTTTCAGCAAAGCTTCCAGATTAAGACAGACTTGGAAGAAGGATGGGGCTATTCACTTCTGAAAAAATTGGCTAGGGAAAACCTTGTGAATACCAGTGAAACACTGTCTGATATGTTACTGGAAAATTTTACGACTAGTCCTGAAACACTGTCTGATATAGTGCCAGAAGATGTGCCCCTCAGGTTGGAAGGCACTCAAAATACAACTAGGGTAGAGCTGCCTCATCAAGGCAGAGTTGACTTTAATGACATAGATGGTGTAAAGCTTTGGGGACCTTCATTTGATGCTGGAGTACAACTCAAATAGGGAAGAAACAGCTGCAAACATCTATTAGTAAGTGGAATGTACAAAATATGAATCTAAAAAAACTGGAACCTGTCAAAAATGAAATGGAATGCATAGAAATTGATATCCTAGGCATTAGTGAGCTGAAATGGACTAGTATTGGCCATTTTGAGTCAGACAATCATATGGTCTACTATACCAGGAATGACAAATTGAAGAGGAACAGCATCCCAGTCATCATCAAAAAGAATGTTTCAAGATCTAACCTGAAGTATAGTGCTGTTAGTGATAGGATAATATCTACACATGTAAAAGGAAGACCAATTAACACTACTATTGTTCAAATTTCCACAACAACCGCTAAAGTCAAAGATGAAGAAATTGAAGATTTTTACCAGCTTCCACAGTCTGAAATTGACCAAACATGTAATTCAGATATTTGATTATTATTGGTAATTGGAATGTAAAAGTTGGAAACAAAGGAGAATCATCCACAGTTGGAAAATATGGCCTTGTTGATAGAAATGACACTGGAAATTGCATGAGGGAATTTTGCAAGACCAGTGACTTATTCATTGTAAATGCCCTTTTTCAACAACATAAACAGTCCAACATATACATGTGGACCTCATCAAATGGAATACACAAGAATCAGATTTACTACATTTGTGGAAAGAGGCAATGGAGAAGCTTTATATCACCAGTCAAAATAAGACCAGGAGCTGACTGTGGAACAGACTGTCAACTGCTCATATGCAAGTTCAAGTTGAAGCTGAAGAAAATTAAAACAAGCCCATGAGAACCAAAATACAACCTTGACTATATCCCATCTGAATTTAGAGACCATCTGAAGAACAGATTTGATGCACTGAACACTAATGACTGAAAACCAGATGAGTTGTGGGATGACATCAAGACTATCATACATTAAAAAGGCAGAAAAGGAAAAAAAAAAAAAAGACCAAAATGGATGTCAGAAGAGACTCTCAAACTTTCTCTTGAATGAAGAGTAAAGTGAATGGAAGAAATGATAAGATAAAGAGCTGAACAGACAATTTCAAAGGGCAGCTTGCGAAGACAAAGTATTATAATGAAATGTGCAAAGACCTGGAGTTAGAAAGCCAAAAGGGAAGAATACACTTGGGATTTCTCAAGCTTAAAGAACCAAAGAAAAAAATCAATTCTTGAGTTGCAACATCAAAGGATTCTATGGGGAAAATACTGAATGATGTAGGAAGCATCAAAGGAAGATGGAGGAAATACACAGAGTCATTGTGCCAAAAAGAACTGGTCGATGATGTTCAACTATTTCAGGAGGTAGCATATAGTCAAGAACCAATGGTATTGAAGGAAGAAGTCCAAGCTGCACTGAAGGAACTGGTGAAAAACAAGGCTCCAGGAATTGTCTCAACAAATGGATGCAGTGCTGGAGGCATTTACTCATTTATGCCAAGAAATATGGAAGACAGCTACCTGGCCAACCAATTGAAAGGCAGCCATATTTGTGACCATACCAAAGAAAGGTGATCGAGCAGAATGTGGAAGTTATCAAACAATATCATTAATATCACATGCAAGTAAAATCTTGCTGAAGATAATTCAAAATCAGTTGCAGCAGTATATTGACAGAGAACTTCAAGAAACTCAAGCTGGATTCAGAAGACGTGGAACCAGGGATATCATTGCTGATGTCAGATGGATCTTGGCTGAAAGTAAAGGATACCAGAAAGATATTCACCTGAGTTTTATTGACTATGCAAAGCCATTCAGCTGTGTGGATCATAACAAATTATAAGTAGCATTTTGAAGAATGGGACTTCTAAAACACTTAATTATTCTCATAAGGAAACTGTACATAGACCAACAGGTTGTCATTTGAACAGAACAAGGGGACACTGCATGGTTTAAAATCAGGAAGGGTATGTGTCAGGGTTGTATGATTTCACCATACTTATTCAATCTGTCATTGTTGTTAAACAACTTTTGTCTCTTAAATTAGTTACAAATGTCTTCCATTTTCTATGTTTAAGTTTAATTGTATATTTTGAAAGCTCTTGACAACACAGATTTTCTTAAAAACAATGTATCTAGACTCCTGCATTATGACTATAAATTAATTTTTAAGGAACTGAAGAGAATAAAATTATAATTTGAATGCTTTAAAATACATTTCAATTAAATTGCTATTCTTATATAATGGAATCAGCATACCTATCTTCATTTTCTTTCATTTTCATTTGGCTTTGATAGGCGTGCCTTACTGTTTCTGCATATATATTTTGATTAGTCCATGCTGATTTGCCATTGGCATGAAGTTTTGCGAGATCGTTTCGGAGCCTTTGATTCTCACATTCCAGTTTGTTTATAGATGTATACCTTGACTGTTCCTTGTTAGTGAGGTCCATACCCTAGAGCAGAAAATAAATTGTCATTGAATATATTGTTAGTTATGACTGATGAATATTTTCTATGCATTTGGACAGGTGTGTCAGAAAAGTAGAGGAGCTCTGGTGGCATAGTGGCTAAGGCACTTGACTGCTAACCAGAAGGCTGGTGGTTCAAACCCACCAGCCACTCCTCAGAAGGAAGATGGGGCTATCTACTTTCATAGTGATACTGCCTTGAAAACCCAAGGAGCGGTCGCTATGAGTTGGGTCCGACTCGACGGCACACAACAACAACAAACAACAACAACAGATTCATATAGACTACAGTCTAATTCTGGACTATTGACATTACAGTTGAAATTGTGCTAGAATGACACAAATTTGACCAATGTAGCTTCATACTTACATTTTAGTATTGGGTAGGGGCCACCCAATTTTAATGTGTTCTCAGATTAGAATATGAAACATGTTTAAATCACAAAATGAGAAGTTTAGAGCAAGAATAAAGATTTCCAATGTTTTAATTAAATGCTGCAAGAAGTTACTTAGGGAGAGTCTAACTTTTCTTCTTACAAAATTTTAAAATATAGGATATATTCTCAAATGAAAATGCTTTAAATGACTCTATATAGTCCTTTCTATAATGGTGTCATGGATTAAATTGTGTCCACCCAAAATATGTGTCAGCATGGCTAGGCCATGATTCTCAGTGGTTGGCAGTTATGTAATGATGTAATTTGGCAATTATTCCCCATGATGTGATCTGATGTGATTAGTCAATCAGTTGTAAGGGGATTAGGGTGGGATGTAATACCCTTACTTAGATCACAGCACTGATCTGACCTAAGGGGTTTCCCTGGGGTGTGGCCTGCATCACCTTTTATCTTACAAGATATAAAAGGAGGGAGAAGCCAGCAGGGAGGTAGGAACCTCAGCACCACCAAAAAAAAAAAAAGAGCCTGTAGTGGAGCATGTCTTTTGGACCCACGGTCCCTGTGCTGAGAACTCCTAGATCCAAGGAAAGATTAATGCCCAGACACATGGAGATTTCCAAGGAATATTGGGCCCAGAGATGTTGAAAGGAGACAAAGACCTTCCCCCAGAGCACACAGAGGGAGAAAGCCTTCCCCCAGAGCTGGCACCCTAATTTCAGACTTCTAGTCTCCTAAACCATGAGAGAATACATTTGTGTTTGTTAAAGCCATCTATTTGTGGCATTTCTGTTACAGCAGCACTAGGTAGCTAAGACACCAGGTGTTGTATAACTGCTGATTAAACAATAGTTTTCTGCTTTCAGAAAGATAATATTTTAGTACAAATAGCATAAAGAATAAAATATTTCTTTTGAAGCTCCAAACTTGTATGGTGCAACTATAAGACTATAAAATGATTGTAGCTTAGAACAGTCTTTTTGAAGTTCCTAAATATAAGGCTTTGAGTGTCATTTGATAAGCTATGACTGTTGTTGTTGTTATGTGCTGTTAAGTCAGACCAACTCATAGCGACCCCTCCTTGGGTTTCCAAGGCAGTATCACTACAGAAATAGATTACCCAACCTTCCTTCCAAGGAGTGGCTGGTGGGTTTGAACCACCAGCCTTCTGGTTAGCAGTCAAGTGCCTTAGGCACTACGCTACCAGAGCTCCCAAGCTATGACTAGCATCCATAAAATCATGTGAACCCTTTTTACTAATTGCACATATATAATTATTCATACACTATCATATTAGCAATAGTGATAAATAAGTGTAGAACTATATATATATTGTAGGTATTAAAAATGCTTACTTGTTTCATTTTTTGCTTCAAAAGCCAAACCTGCTTACTACATTTTCTGTTTACTGCCTACACATACTTGATTTCACTTTTGGATCAAAAAAATATGCTCCAGGAAGGCAATCTTTTCCAATATGCTTCACTGTCTATTAAAGAAGGTACCCTTTGGAAAAGAAGGGCCACTGAAGGCATTTCCTTGCTAGTTAGGCTACTGCCTTTAGGATTTTTCAACATGTACTCATTTGAGATGCACTGGTCAGATAAAAATGCAATCTGTAGTCTTCTGCTTTAAAAGAGAAAGGATTGTTTATTCTAAAATTAGAGTCGATTTGTAACAAATATAAAGGAGTCAGAGTCTTATAAAATTTTGTCCTTCATTAAAAAACAAAATCCACATGGGCATATCTATCTGAAAAAGGTCTTGGATAGGATAAAAAATGTTGACTAATAAGATATCTACTAATCAATATGTGTAATTCTTGACAGTCTCCTCAATTAAAATTTTACTCAAGTTTTCTCTATAAAATTAAATTTCATCTGTGACTCTTTCTCATCCATTGTTGGTTTAAAGTAATTATATAATGATTTAAGAAATTTTTGTAAATAGATCATAATTAAATAAGTGTTGTGAGCATGACCTGAAAGAATTACATAGGTAATGTACTTACATGATTCATATTTAAGAGCATATTCAATTTGCCTTGACAATAACATTTTTGGGGTCTCTTTAATTTCACATTTTTTTGGATACTTTTCTAGTTATTTCAGGAATACATCCCCCTACTAGTTGTTTATCATGTGAAAATACACACTGATTAAATTCTATTGCTAGATATCTCAGTTCCTTTTCTTTTTTCCTGAAAATGGCAAAACTCCTCTTAGTGCATATTTACTTGGACACATTACGATGAGGCCAGTTGGATTACTGAAGTGTATGAATAATAATATCATTTGGTATACACAGTATTTCTTTTTAAATTCATATATATTCAAAATAATTAGTCTAACAACGTATTTGTAATGAGGGACTGGCTTTTATGTTTTATAGTCAGTATGTTAAATTGTAGTATATAAATCAATGTCAAATTTTCTATTATTATTTTATTTAACAAACTTTATCTTTATAGATAATGAAAGGCAAATTAGTCTACCACAAATTCTGAGTTCTGATTAAACCTGATTTTATTACAACTTCCTTAAATGAAGGAATAATAAGCATATTATGTTAAAAAACCCCATCACCTACTTCTACTCACAGCGACCCTTTGGGCAGAGTAGAACTGCACTACAGGGTTTCCTCAGTGGAAATCTTTACGGAAACAGACTGCCAAATCCTTCTTCCGGGAAGAGACTAGTGGGTTCAAACTATCAATTTTTAGTTAGTAGCTTACTGCTTTAACCACTGCACCACTAGGGTTCCTCCTATGCATATTATAACCCACTGCCTTAGAGTTGATTCTGACTCACAGCAACCCTTTTGGACAGAGTAGAACTGTCCCACAGGGTTTCCAAGGCTGTAAATCTTTATCAAAGCAAACTGCCTCATCCTTTTCCCACTGAGTGGATGGTGGGTTCTAACTGCTGACCTTTTGGTTAGCAGCTGAACGCATTAACCACTATGCCACCAGAGCTCCTTAAGTATACTATGAACCAAAAACCAAACCAAACTCACTGCCATCGAGTTGGATCCGACTCAAAGCGACCCCTCCTTGGGTTTCCAAGGTGGTATCACTACGGAAGTATTTTGCCCAACCTTCCCTTCCAAGGAATGGCTGAGGGGTTTGAACTGCCAGCCTTCTGGTTAGCAGTCAAATGTCTTAGGCACTATGCCACCAAAGCTCCTTAAGTATATTATAGGACTATGTAAATTTGGAATCACAGAAAACTATCATGATAACCTTGATTCTTCTTTAGCTACCCAGGAGCAGAATAAAAAAGAATTCCCCACTTCTCTCTCTAGTCAAGTTTCTGTACAAACCCCAAGAAAATATATCTTTTTCAGAGTCAGGAGCCTCTTGCTAGTTCTATTGCTATTCCAGGTATCTCACTGCAACCTGAGGAAAATTTTTACATTGCACAAATACATTCTCTAGAAGAAAATGGGAGTTGCCATAGCCCCAAGCATGCACTGGATGGTGACTGAAGGCAGGATTGCTATTCCTACCATAGGACAGACATGTTGTTGTTGTTGTTGTTATGTGCCGTCGAGTCGGCCCCGACTCATAGCGACCCCTCCTTGGGTTTCTGAGGCAGTTTCACTACAGAAGTAGGATTGCCCAACCTTCCTTCCGAGGAGTGGCTGGTGGGTTTGAACCACCAGCCTTCTGGTTAGCAGTCAAGTGCTTTAGCCACTATGCTACCAGAGCTCCTTAGGACAGACATAAGCATTAAAAATAATTATAAATAAAAAATTCCTTTCCCTAAGTGTAAATGAGAAGGGAGCTTCAGAATTAATCAAGTAGAAGAATTTTCAAAGCTAGTGTTAGTTAGTTATTTAGAAGTGACCCATGTTAAGGTCAGTAATTTCACTTGTCCAGAAAGAAAAAGTAGTTATTATTATAATATTATCTGAATGCCACATATTTTACAAGATTAAACAATAATGATGTAAATATTTTGTTTTTTATTGCCTGAGGGAAAATTCCAGCATATAAATTATTTAATTCTAAGGTTATTTATCCATTTCAATTATTTCAGAAAGAATTAACTATCTAATTATGAGATTTTAACATATAACAGGATATGAGCTTTCTTCATGAAAATTTTAAATAAATGAGAACTAAATAAGTGACATAATATATTGTATCCTAAAGAAAAAATAATTATATTTAATTCTTTTCTTCTTTTATTCAATAGATACTTGAGTTTTTCTTTTTTGGATGCAGCTTAACTGTTTCAATTATGAGTCAATACCAAATCTCTTATACACAAAAAAATAGAGCGCAATTATAAATATTTTCATATATGAATTATAATCCTGCATGAAATATATATCATTAAATACAATTCTAATAAGCATTACATAGAAGGCCATACACCAAAGCGTAGTGCCTAAGGCACTTGACTGCTAACCAGAAGGCTGGCAGTTCAAACCTACCAGCCACTCCTTGGAAGGAAGATGAGACAACCTACTCCTGTAGTAATACTGCCTTAGAAACTCAAGGTGGGGTTATTACGAGTCAGATCCAACTGGATGGTAGTGAGTGAGTGAATTATCCAATCTGTAAATAAATATATATTGGATATG